TTGGACACTGATTATCAAATACGCCCTGGGGCCAGTGTTAAATTATTAAAGTGTGATGCAGTGCCAAGTATTTTCAATTTTCCAGAACATTTATTAAAAAAATACCAATCGAAGGACTGTTTAACAATGTTTAATTTGTGCATGTTTGAATGTATTTTTTTTATAAGTACCTACTAATTGCGAATATAAAGTATTTTTGAATTGTATGTCTTTTTTAATTTTTTCAAAATTTTAATGAGTCAAGACTTCAAAAACTGTTTTTATTAATTCATTGTATCTTACAAACGAATTAAATGTCAGATTGAACAACACAAGTTACACCTGCGATCTGCAGAAAAAATAGTATTTATAACTCTTTTTCTCCTCTTTTTCGTTTTTTCCTTTTCCTGCTGTCTCGTGCGGAAAAGTTTCAGTTTATACACTAGAAAAGTATGCTATTACATGATGGTGGCAAATCTGTCTGAAGTAAATCGCAATTGTTTTTCATTATTTAAAGATCTCCTCAAATATATATTTTTTCTGTAAAGGTATAGACAGATGTCTGCTTTTCGCTCTCTATAGCCGTGACCGCCCAGTATATTATTTTACCTGTATTTCTACTTGAACTTATGAAATCAGTCCCACTTGTGTAATACACATCCAACGTGCCAGACAAGGATGGGAATACCTATAACATGCTGGTTGCCTAAAATCCAAGCGGGCACGCGATTTCGGTGCTCGATGCCGTTCCAGTTAGACGACACTAGAAGTCGCAATGTACGGGACTTTGTGCGCCAGCGCAAAATTTAGCCTGAGCCCAGCTGACCGTCTAGATTGGCGCGCATTTCAAACCACTGTCACCGATAAAATCCATCACATGGGATACCACCCCCACTAATTTCCCGCTAAAAACGTGTTAAGGGTCATTTGCTGTTTCCGCCCGCAGACTTTGTCTTTGCTTCCATCTTAATAGATGATATCAAAGTGACTGACTGATAATTTCTTGAAATTACTCGTTGCTGTGTTTTTATCAACTAGTATTTGCTTGCTATAAACCATATCAGCTCTAGTATATATAATACTAGTATAGTGAGCGCATTTCTAAGAGAATAGTGGATAGTAGCCGTATTTTTGTTTGTTTTGTTGCATTTTGCA